ATTCAGAGGGAATTGACACTGTGCCTGAAACTTCTGTTCTGAAAGGAATGATATTAATTTGCAAAACGTATTGCTTTGTCTTTTTTTTAGAGTTTTAACGTAAAATTTACTGCTTTAGGTATATTTCCGGCTCACATATATGGAAATCAAGAAGATGCACATGAATTCTGGACGCTTCTACTCGCAGCACTTGATTCTGCTGCATCAAACGGGATGAAAAATAGCGGATATAATGGATCCCCAAAAAAGAACGGGTAAGCAAACTTCATGAGAGACGGAGCTAATTTTCGTTGTGAATACTTGGTACTTTGATCGCTTGCTAATTTACTGTGGTACTAAAATGATATTGTGGCAGCCTTTCCATAGTGTAAAGGCGAAGCCTTTGCTTCGTCGCCCCCAGTCGGAATTCAAAAAAACAAAAATAAAATAAAAAGCTCAGTTACCTTTCGATGACATTCCAGCTGAACGTCGCTTCGCGACGTTCTCGTCGGAGGTCGGATCTCCGACAGGGACCCGACTCTCCGTTCTCTGTCTACCTTTTTCTCCGCCAACTTTCCCATGGTAGATTGAATCTCTGGCGGTGTAATCCATCCCTAGTTTCTCCATGGCATCCATTTTGGAATCCTGAATCAAGGCCGTTTCGTTGTGGGATCTATTATCAGTACATGAAACGGGTGATGCGGTGATTCGGAGTCCACGTATATCATTCGTCTACTTCGACCAAGCCTTTCTTCAATCGATCTAACATACCAGCGCTGGTCACTCGTCGATTACCCATTTTGTTCACTGTCAGTATCTCACGCGACAAACTATCTTTTGCCTCCAGTTCAGCCTAGCACCCTAATTAGTTCCTTCGATCCATCGACACTTTCATACGCGGTACCAAAATTAATACACATTTTAACTATAATTGTTGTGATTGAAACTGAGTCGTCTAACAGGCACGGTTTTTTGGTGGTTGGTGGCAACAGTAGTTCCATTTCCCTCAGTGCAAAAGGTGAAGGTTCTTGAGGCGAAATATAATAGTTGGGGCAAAAAAAAGCGCTTTTACCGTGTCCAGATTTTTTCTTAATTTCATTTCCAGTAGCGAATATTTCACATTTTTCCCCGTAGTTCTGCGGAATTTCTAGTTTTCTTCCTTTGCAGGGAGCCACGATTAACAACGCGACTGGAGCAGATGTTTTACGGCAAACTGCGCCATGAAAATCGGTGCCAAAGCTGCGCCGGTTTTTCAGTTAGCCACGAACAGTTGCAGGAATTGAACCTCGCTGTACAGATCGACAATCATCAAGGATCAATTGGTCTTGATGATTTATTAAGGGCACATTTTGGCAACGAAGTAGTGAATCTCGACTGCGCAGTGTAATTTTTATTATTAGTTTTGTTTTTATAGGAATTTGTTTGGAAACTATAAATCTTGCCACCGATTTTCATAAAAATATTCCTTTGCTAAAAAGACAAAATTTTTGATTTTTCTGAAACACAGCCTTGGTAAAATGTCTATCTATGGCATAGTAATGTGTTGTATCTCTTGAAACATTACAAATTACTAACCTTTTTTTTCTTTTTTTAAACGTTGCTTCTATGTAGGACTTTTTTAACTACATCCTTCACTTGTAGGGAACGAAATTAAGGGGAAGAGTGTGGTTTTCGTTTGAACTTGACATGTGGCAAAAAGGCAGGCAGCTTTACGGGGCTACGAATAGTGGAATAAGAAGATTGGAATTAGGTATCATGTACAAGAAGACATTTCACGATGCAGTCTCTGTGTTCCATCCTTTAGCTGTATAAATACCTACATACATTTAATATACACACACACACACACACCGAACAGTGCATGCAGGTAGGAGTGGGAATCATCAGTACAGCCTACTACCCGCCATGTATTGAAAGGACATGTAACTAATTTTCAAGCAGGGCGTTTATATGATTTGTGGAATTCACTTTGTTGAATGTTCCATTTCAGTTTGTTACTTATCAGGCAAATTGGTTTTAGGTGTAAACAGGGAACGCGGTGTCTCCGGAGTACGACCATTTGTCGACCTCCATTCGTGCTGATGATCCAGCTGAAAAGATTTACTCAGGGCAATAAGAAGAATTCGACGCCCATCAGTTTTCAGGTATAATTCTAGACAGTTTTTTTGTTAACTGCTATTTAATTGTTCCGCTTGTCGCCACCAATGTTCACCTGAAATTCTCCATTTTTTGTTGATTTTTGGTCTTTTTCTTCGTCCATGTGCGAACTGAAGATTTCACAAAAATGCATCTTTCACGTGCGCTTACGCTTCACGTGATTTTTAATAGAAAATTTCGCAGCTTAGGAACCAGTAAATCGACCGTTTTTATACAGACGTAAGTGTAGTAAAACAGTGAAAATTTTTAACAGCAAACGCCCGCTGGACAGAGTTTCACAAAACGCATGGTCGCATCGACTGGCCTGCTGCGCACCGCTATTTATTTATAAATTCGAGATGATATTTTGCAGACAACGCTTTGCCTGGATCCATACATTCACGCACCGCAAACATCTCATATTTATGAACTTTATGGTATTGTTGAGCATCAGGGAGAAACAACGCATCTTGGCCATTACATTGCTATTGTACGAGGTTTTGATGGCAAATCATGGTATTTTTATAGCGATCACGAAGTTAGTTCACGCTTAATTTGTTTAAAAAGAGACGACTTATTATTCTTACAGGTCTTAAAGGTCCTTTATTCGTTCGTTAATTTAACGCTTCTCTTTCTTTCCTTTCGTCTTTCTCTTTTTCCCTTAAGCACTGCCACCGTCATACTGACAAGGTCTTGCGGTGCGGTGTTCAGTTGAGGCGTATATGACTTATTGGGCCGAAACGTCTTATCTCACTCTTGCCTTCTTTTCTCATGTTGTTCTCTTTCTGTATTCTGTCGCTTCTTCGCTACTTAGACTTTCAAGGTCAACCTGGTTGCTACAACAAAGACGGAACGGTTTTCTAGGAATTCTGGTCATAGCATGTTTGTATTTAAGCCAACAGGATGATCAGGCAAACTGGGGCAGTAATATACGATACCGCTTGTACCAAGTGTAATTTTATAGCCTCGTCCTCAAACTATGCATCTGACAACTTCTTCATTTTCTTGACCCAAACCTACACCACCGCACGCAGCCTGCTGGTATTCCTGATGTCCGTTTTTGTCGCTGAAAGAATCTCAGACAGAAGCCTGAAGCAAAGAGTTACACGTTTCGAGCCATGCTCGGAAAATTTCGGCGTCCTATCTACTCTAGTTGCGGAGTTACGTCAAATTTCACGTCTGCGCACACGAGACGTAGTTGAGGCACGAAAAGGACGTGGAAGTCGTTTTCACATCCACCTAGTCAAAAGCCGCTGTCGGTTATGCTCAGAAAGTTCTAGTTTCGGGATATCTTGATGTATTAAGCCTAGTTTCGAACGTTGTCACTTCCAGCGCAAGACGAAGTTGAGCAGTTCCTACTGGACTGTAATGATTAATATTGACTTCAAATATATCGTTGAGCAAAACGAACCGAGTACGCTCGACCTCGACGATTGGGAATCTCCGTTGTTTAGAGAGAAGGAGGAGGAATATGAAATACCCCAAAATGTGTATTACTCCATGCTGTGGAGAAAATGCGGACTGAAACTACGGAAAATCTCGGGAACTGGGATCATCAATGGGAGGCAGCGAGAAAAAGCAGAACTTGAAGAAATGCCAGGGAGAATTGTTGCTGCTTGTACTACCCCAAAATCTCAGCGTTAAATGGCGGAAAAAATAACTTATTTTGCTTATTTCGACGTATAATTTTGGCATTTTCTGTTATTTTGATGCATGATGAATCTCAGTTTCGTAGCTGTCTGTATTTTATTTTCGAATTATATTTCAGTGCTATCGGGTAACGGAACAAACATTGCTGCGCAGGGAAGCATATTTGCTGCTTTACACACGTAAAGAAGTGGCAGCAAATACGGATATGCCAGCACTGCAAAACGGGCCATCGCCGTCGAAAATTCGTGCCAGATCGAAACTTGCTCAAAATTCGCAGCAGTTTCTTGATGATGACTACTGCTTGGATTAAAATATGCTGAAGCTAAACATTTGCGGGGCTTGACTGTTGTTAGCTTCCTGTTGTCTTTGACTTTGATTTTGTCGTGTTGCGTCCAGTGAAAGTCTTAGATGTCTGTATTTGTAAAAATCTGAAGCGGCTGAACCCCCGAGGATTTCAGAGAGGAAAAGTTCTATAGGCCAGTAATGCCAAACAAACTGCATATGTTAACGTGTAGAAGATTTCAGGCCCCCGTCCTCTTTCAAATCTCCCAGCCAGAGATATTCACTGTTTGTATCTTTAAAATTTCTACAACACTTCTATAGACTTGTTATGAGCCGAAATAATGCAAAGTGATCCGAGTAGTATCGCGAAAAGCATGAAAATTGTTGTTCAGCTGCTCCACTGACTATTAGGAGCCGAGTAGCAACTGGTCAAGACTGCCCAGAGAACTGCATTCATTGGATTGGTGGCGGATAACCGATTTGTTCTGGTTCAAAAAAGCCAAATTGTATATCCTTCTCCTGAAATGCGAGCAACTGTCAAGCCTCAAAGTGCTTTGTGTCTTGTTATAGCCTACGAATTGCGCGTCATTCCTGCTGGATTGCTGAATTTCAGAGGGTCACTGATAGCGAATTTGTGGATTTTTATGCTTTCTGACTCGTATGGTACAGCCCAAATTTAACACATTTTAATAATCTTGCCCCAAAGTAATAATTAATTACGAGGGAAATTTTGATGGCATATGACGCGTAATGGCTTTTTGCACTGGATTTGTTTTGCTGCAGTGACGTATGTGCGTAAAAGGAGAGGGGAAGGCAAATTTGGCTGCTTTGACGTTTAGGAAGAGGAGGAGGAGAAGGAGGCAAATTTAGGTATTTTGAACTTAAAAATCACTCCTTTTTACGGGGTAGCAGTAGTAGTAGAAGAGGTGATTTGTGAGGTTCTATTTGCGATAATAAGCAATAGTTGAATAGAAAAGAATTGTTTTCCAAGGACGAGGATTTGTTTATACTGTAAAAATTTGTACCATTAACTGTGAGAAATAAAAATTATGCTGAGGTAAAAT